TTACGAGTTTTAGGTTCTGAAAACGGTCCGTTTAGGAACTAAAAACGGTCCGTTTACGGCACGTTAACTTACCGTTAACGACCAGTTAACGGGCCGTTAACGGTGCCGTTTTCTTGGACCTGGGTTTCTTCAGAATTATCACTCAATTCGCTAAAATTTGAAGATGTTCCACTTTCAGCATCATCTTCACTTGAATCACTCATCATTTCCTTTTATTTTATTTATAGATAATTATTGTTGGTTTGTAAAAATAAGTGGATTTTGAAGGATATTACAGTATGTATATATAGCTAAATACCAAAGAATAGAGAAAAATGAAACAACAATAGGCGATTGAGACTAGGCAATGACAACAAACGGTTTTACATTTGGACAAAAGTAATTCAACTATATAATTTCATGTAATTTAGCAACTGATAAAACTGCGAGTAAAATTAACATATAGATTTATAAAAAACTTAAGAGGTCTGACATGATCAGCAGCAAAAACTACGATAGATGTCGCACAAGTCGACGGCATATATTGACACCTATATAATATAAATTAAGACCATTGGTTACTAAATATACTTAATCTATTCTACTACAGTTATCTATTACATGATTCATACAGAATTCAATCATTTAAAATTATATGCAGCATTTTACTGTAAATTCGAAAATAATCTAAAATTAGGTATAGAAGGTCTTCCAAAGATTTATCATACTTATCACGTGAATGACTTTATTACAGCTATAGTTCTTATATAAATGTGTGTACCGAAGTCTCCCCTATGTCATAGAGAAAACAGATCTAGACATCTTTTTCCATTCGCGAGCTATTCCAAAATCAAGAAACTTGAAAAAACCGTACTTACAACTGTACCTACAATTGTTAAGAACAGGTTTTGGTTATTTTTTAGAGTTTCTGAAAAACTGATTTTTCATAAAACCGGGTCTTCCAGACTCATGCACCCGAATCCTTATAGGGTATTTACTACCTCACTGAGATCTATCGATCCATGTACAAATCATTGAAATCGAAAGGGGGCACCTCGGGAGGTTCCCTCGTTAGTGAATTTTGCAATTCATCATATAAACCTGAGTTCGTTGTACCATTCGATAAAAATTTCATTAAATGAAATTCGACGTTTCTTCACTAAAATAACATAATGAATGATCATTTGCCATTATATCCGTCAAACGATGATAATGTTCAATATGTGGTTCGTATGCAAGATGTATTTGTGCGTTACTATCTGTGACCTACCTTGGTGACGTGCATAAATTGTACGATGATCTGCGTATTCACTATGAAGTGTCATTTTCCTAATGTAATCTTGGACATTAGTGTACCTATTATAATCTATATAAGATGAAATAAAATCTTGATTCCTCTGTATATAATCTACTGCTCTGCGTCTATAAGTACAATGAGTTCTTTCTGTACCGTCTAATTGTAAGACAACTGCTCAAAATAAGCATCCTCCGTCCCTTGTTACGTCTACAGCAATTAAGTTTGCGTCTTTCAACTGTTCCTGTAATCTTGAATTTACATTTCCTGCACTCTGTTTATCGTTCAGTTGTATTTTTGACGATTGAGTATTGTTGTTTTTCTGCACGTCTTTTAGCTTTTTAACCTGTTTTTGGGTTGGAATCCTTATCTGGTAACGTTTTAGCATCAGTAGAATGAATATAATCCTCTATTTTTATCGGTGATTCAAATGCCACTTTTGTATACGTATTAATTCGTTTAGAGCTTCAGGACAAACCCACGAAATAGAAAGACTAATGAACTCTTTAGACAAATTAATTTTTTCACCTTTTACTCGCTTTAAAAGATTTACAATCATATTCTAAAGTTATTAAATCGTATTCTAGATAACGCTGTATACGTCATGCCTGGCTTCATCCAACCAGGCCCCAAGCCCACAATCAATTTTGAATAGGTTGCGCATTGTGTGCGATATATGGTTGTTGCATAACCTAACGCAAGAGGAAGTTGTGTTCTGACCATTCTTATTCGATTGGTGTCTTCAAATATAGTATCGTAAGGTGGTATGATGTGCGTTTCACTCGTTGTTAATAAAACAGATACTTTCTTTACTACCCGGGTCGACTGTCACGCTGAATTCGCGGCGCGACTCGCGATTTTTCGTGTTCTATCCATGATACAATGAAACAAATTATAGTTCCTTATGTAAGAGAGAGTACTCTACAACATGGCACTATTAGTTCTTAAAAATATTCAACTGTTAGTTTCAATATACTGGGTGACCATTAACTGGACAGACCATGCAGTTAACTGTTATTTTACACACGGTCTGTAGAGAATTTTTAGAGGCTATGCAATGATATATTTATTTTGTCGTCTACGTGAGAGAAGTATAAGAAAAACACATTTTACGTAATCTATAGCTGATCTTTGCGGAATGGACTATTGGCGCCCGATTGACGAGTAATTAGTTGAATTTTACTTACAAAAATACGCGAAATTAGTTGAAATTGAATAAAAATACTTTTCTACTACTCATAGAACCGTTTTTAGGCAAACATTGAACTGGATCGATTACTGACTTTATGCGGACGTTCCTTTACCCATACATTGTCTCAATAATGATGTTTGTACTTTTTGGAACTCTAAATACTAGTAGAAGTTACATGTAGATGACAGAAAAACATATACAACTACACATTCAGATATCGTTGGCGACTATTAAGTGTTAGCACTGTTTGCTGTTTCTGTGATTCATTTTCAGTTGTTTTTCGATGTACCATTGAACTATGTTGCCGAATTATATTCAATCGTACTTCTCGTCCAACTTTGGATCGTTGTGATTTCGTTCGAAATATGTTCAAAAATTTCAATTGAAAATAATATTGAAAATGATGTTTAAATAAACGTTTAATTTCAGTTCTAAATGTTTTACCACTTAGACAATAGACGTAGAAGTTCAATGAGCAATTGGCGAGTATAACAACTGACACCGAATGAGACAAAAGAGCATCGCTCGTGAACAAATGTACAATAGTGTGTGTTAACGATGAGAAAAAGAATAAACAACTGTGAAGAATGAGTACCATGTTCATCCACGATGTTTTTGGTCGATTATGAGTCATAGATTTTTCGATGTTTTGAGTCGTACTACTGTTTTCTTGTGGTGTCGATGGTCGTGTGGATGATGGACAATTAGTGTCCGTGGCTGTTTTTGAATTACGTGCAGCAACGAGTGTTAAACTATTTCGGAGTTGAAATGATGCTTCAATAACACGCAAAATAATGCCAATATTGAAAAGGGTAACAAGAAGAGACGGTATAATTTCGGAAAATATCGAACGTAATGTGTGGTAATTAAAACCAAATTTTACGTCTAATAAATATACATACCAAGAGTAAGGTACATTTGGTTTCAGCATACATGGGCGTTTCTGAGAATTGAATGATTCGTTGAGTGATGAATACTGCTCAAAATCAGTTTTGTTGTTTGAAGGTGTTTGAGACCTATAAATAAAAATGACAAGATGAAAGGAGGCTTTCACAAACAAATGCGAAAAGTTTTAATATATTCTGTATGCGTGAACTTCTTGTACAGACATATTGTTCTACCTCAAAATTAAAAGTTTGTCCCATGTGGGCCTGACAATCATGCATCCTGAAACCATCATATCCCACGCAGAATCCCGGTTTATAACTTCAGAACTGATGAAAGAGTATTCTTTCATTATTGTTTCAATCTACCGCCGTCGTTGACTTTTCCGTTCAACACCATTTCGATCCAAAGTAAACTTCATCTGATCGCATTAAGTTTCCATTGGAGATACATCCCAGCAGTTCCGAAGTACGCTTTTCTGTCGTGTCTTTTACTCAGCTTTCCTACTCCGAAATAACGCAGAATCACTGAAACTAGCAAAAATCAAATTAATTATAATTGGTCGGGTTCTAGCAGAATGCAATCCGATATACTCTTCGGTGTATGTACTAAAGATTACAGTTCGATCGGACGAACTTTTCTTCGGGCATCATAACAGGTAATATATATTCTCGTATATCTGATGGCTATGGCTGTCATAAATGAAAACAAAACGTAAAGAAAATTTTCCACTTAAGTATGACAATTTACACAAGCATGTAAAACAAACGATGATTCAAGGATTTCCAAAATCTTGGATACAAGTTTCAATCATACTATCTTATAACATCTTGAGTGGATACGCACAAGATCTTGGATGAAAGAAGTTCCGCTAGGGTAGTTACTATTCTTCTATGGAACAGACAGACAAACAAGTTTTATTTTATGTGATCCTAAATGTCATTCGATATATAAAGTCGTTAGTTATTAGTTGGCACAGTCATAGTGACTTGCGTTTAAAAATTTAATATGCGTTGTCGGTAAAAAAACAGAATAGACTCGAGTGTTTTCTGAATAACGTTTGATAAGAAAGTGATAGAGACTTCCGCTTGAATTGAAAGCCAAGGCCTGACTACAACATCTTTTCAGCATGAAAGTCATTTAGAAAATCTGTTTCCAAAGTAGGTTTTTCAGAGGATCTTTGGAAAATCAGGCCATTGCTCAGAAACTTGAAATACAGATATTTTGATTTTTTTCACATGGGTAGATAGCTCAAAGTGTCCTGTTCAATGCGGTGTTCAAGCAAGGCAGTGATTTCTAGTGGTTCGGACGTTGTGGTGGATCCACCGAAGTTTACAGAAACTTGGGTTTGCAGATTGTTTTCATCTAATATTAAAAAATTTACAATTCACTTAAAAATATCAGATCAACTTTAAAACTTCAGGATATGATTAATTTTTGCCGCTAAAAATGGTCATATCATCGAAAAAGCTCAAAATCATATTTTTGTTAAAGATTTCTTAGACACTCGTTTGTAGAATCATAGGGTTTTTGTAAATTTGTTTCTGGATTTCTCATAAATAGGATGTAAAATAGTCGAAAGTTGATCTGATGTTTGTAAATGAATTGCAAATTTTTTAATATTAGGTGAAAACAATCTGCAAACCTCAGTTTTTGTAAACCTCGGTTTTACTAGGTTTTCGATTTCTTTTCAAAAACCAAACATTGCCACCAGATTCAGCGTGGTCAATTCCATATGCTCCATACGATTCTAAGGCACCAGATACTACTAGTAGTAGTAGTTCTGTGGCTCTAAGAAAATCCAGCACCTTGTCCGAACCCACTAGAAATCACTGCCTTGCTTGAACACCGCATTGAACAGGACACTTTGAGCTATCTACCCATGTGAAAAAAATCAAAATATCTGTATTTCAAGTTTCTGAGCAATGGCCTGATTTTCCAAAGATCCTCTGAAAAACCTACTTTGGAAACAGATTTTCTAAATGACTTTCATGCTGAAAAGATGTTGTAGTCAGGCCTTGGCTTTCAATTCAAGCGGAAGTCTCTATCACTTTCTTATCAAACGTTATTCAGAAAACATTCGAGTCCATTTTATTGTTTTACCCACAATAGCTCGAATGATAGGGAATTTAATTCTCCAGAAAACTATCGATTTTTTTTTGAAATTATTTCCAAAATTTCAGTAGAATATTCACTATACTGGAATATTCTAATTTTCTGAAACGACACAGAATAAACTTATCGTCTTTTACGATTCAATTCAAGTTTCAGATAATTATTTTAACATCAAAGGATGCAGAATTTTACTTTGTACAATGTGACACTATTTGTATTAAATGATTATTCATTTTTGAGAGTAAGAAAGTCCTAAATTGACTGACTTACGAATACGAAGAAAATCAATATTATCGATATCTTGTTCTCAAACTCAAAATAAAATTCTAAATTTACTTTTAATAGTGTAAAATAACATTAGATGCTACTTAGCATTGATCCTCCTAAACTTCTATGAAAGTTTCATTCAAAAAATCTTCTGGGAGCCAACTTGACTTAGAAGTATGAAACTTTGTACGGAATTTTGCACTAAATTTAATGGTGTATTGTGTTCTGATTAATAAATCCTTTTTAGTCAAACGTTTGTATCATCTCTTCCTCTATGGACATGTTGACAAAGTTATCTGCCTAGATTCTTAATCAAACGCAGTTTTTATTTTGTTACAAACTTTTGCACTAGCAATGTTTTTTT